CTAAGTCATGAATATGATATATTTTTTCATCTATTTGTAGGTTTAATTTTCCTCCCCAATGTTTTGTAGTTCTCAATGCACAGATCTTCCACTTCTTTTGTTAAATTTGCTCCTAAGTGTTTTATTATTTTTGTTGCTATTTTGAATGGAGTTGTTTTCTTAATTTCATTTTTGATTGTTTGTGACTAGCAGATAGAAATATGATGGATTTTTATATATTACTCTTATGTCCTGTGATCTTGCTAAAATCACTTATTAATTTTAATTTTTTTGGTAGATTTATTGGAATTTCCTACAAAAATATCATCTTGTCTGAGTATAAAGATTATTTTATGCATTCCTTTCCAATATGGTTGCATTTAATTCCTTTTCTCCCCATATTGGACCGGCCAGAATCTCCAGTACGATGCTGAATACAGGAAGCAGACATCCTTGCCTTGTTCTTGATCTTAGGGGAAAAGCATTCAGCCCTGTATAAGGAAGAGTCATGCTAGCTGTCAGCCTTGGGAATGCCCTTATCACACTGAGAAAGTTCCTCCATATTCCAAGAATTTTGAAAGTTTGTATAATGGAGAATGCTGAATTTTGTCGATTTTTCAGCATCTATTGAGATGATCAGGTGATTTTTATTCTTTATTCTCTTAATATGTTTTGTTACATTCATCGATTTTCAGATGTTCAACTATTCTTGTATTCCTGAAATAAACCTCATGTCCTCATAATTTACGGTTCTCTTTATATGTTGCTGAACTTGGTTTTCCCATTTTGTTAAGGAATTTTGCATCTATGTTCATTTTCATTCAGTTCAAGTTATTTCCAGTTTCCCCTATCATTTTTCTTTGGTCTATAGGGTAATATACTAATATATCTTGTCTTAAAATCTATTTTGTTTGATATTACTATAGCCTCTCCAGCTTTCTTATGGAGCTGTTCTCACAGAAGACATGTTTTTTTATCCCTTTACTTTCAAGCTATTTGCATCTCTAAATGTAACTTGAATCTCTCACAGACAGTATTGGAGTTGGCTCTTCTCTTTCTGACAGTCTCTGTCTTTTGGTTGGTGCATTTAACCTATTGATGTGGTTGCACTTTTGTCTGTCATTTTGCAGTTTTTTTCTGTATGTCTCATCTTGTTTTTGGTCCTCTGAGCCTTCTTTGCTGCCCTCTTTTATGTTAAGCAAATAGGTTTACTGAAGGATTTTAATTTCTTTCTTAAACTTTTCACTGTTCTTGCTGTTGAGCTCCAGGTGTTGTAGTGACTTCTAGTCCATTGCTTGGTCTCTTCTGTTGTCCCTTGGGTTAAATTGAGACGTTCCTCAAAGTTTCCTCTTCTAAAGGGGTTCCTCTCCCCATCTCCTTCTTGTACAACTACACAGTTTGACCGTGTCTGTTGCCGCGGGACCAAGCTGAGAGAGGGTGTCAGCTCACAAGGCAGGCTGAGCACACCTGGTCTCTGTGGGGCTCTTTTTCAGTCTTAAGCCACCTCGTTCCTTTCTTGGCCCCAGCAATAGGCCTCCAGGGACTAATAGTCCTTCAGGGAATAGTCCTGTATTTTAGGGGTCCAGGTGGTTGGTTCCTCACAGCCCCCTGGCATGGATGAACCCAAGTGGATACAGGAGCTTCTCAAGCTAAAAGCTGTTTCTGAGAATGAGGAGTCTCAACTAGCTTTGCTGCTTCCGGGCTGCTGGAATCCCAGCTTGGTTTCCAGCTCTCTGTGGTGCCCTCCGGTGACACATTGAGACAGGTTTCTTGCTGTGCCAGATTTGGCTTCATTGGTGCCTGTGCTCTCACATCTAGTTATGCCACTTGTCACCTCCGTGCTGTCCTCAGCCCGCCTGGGCATTGCTGGGTATGTTTGTAGGGCGTGTCACTCAGGGACCTCCAGGCATAGGTGAGATTCAGTTCTTCATTTCCAGATCCATGTTTATCTTCCTGAGCTGTTGGTGTGTATGTATGTGCGTTGTGTGTGTGCATTATGCACAGTAATCTGTTTGTGTGTATGTATGTGCGTTGTGTGTGTGCATTATGCACAGTAATGAGCTGTTTGTGTGTATGTATGTGCGTTGTGTGTGTGCATTATGCACAGTAATGAGCTGTTTGTGTGTATGTATGTGCGTTGTGTGTGCATTATGCACAGTAATGAGCTGTTTGTGTGTATGTATGTGCGTTGTGTGTGCATTATGCACAGTAATGAGCTGTTTGTGTGTATGTATGTGCGTTGTGTGTGTGCATTATGCAAAGTAATGAGCTGTTTGGAGGCAATGGCAAGAAGGAACAAACTGCCTTTCTAATTTTAACCCCCCAGCTCTCTTCTCTTCCAGCCTGTTTTTATGTATAATCTTCCAGTGGGGTTGGAGGTGTGGACGGTGAAGGGAAAGCACCTTGTAAACTCTTGTCAATTTTCTCTAAATGGGAGGGTCTCATTCTTGTGATAGTGCCACAAGCTGAAGGCCACCAGGAGGATATCTGAATATTAACGAGCTGGGTTTACTATGCGTTTTGGCAAGAAAGGACATGCAGGCATGGTGAAGAACAGTGAGGTGTCTCAGTAGGAGCAGGAGGTCTAGGGTTTGGGCTTTGGTTGAGTGTTTGGGAGAGGGTGTAAGGCAGCAGGTGTTTGCTGTGGATTGGATGCTGTCAGGAAGCAGGGAAGGTCCTATGATTGTGTGTCCTCATATGTCATAGTGTCATCCATAGGGAGGGCAGGCTGCAGTGAAGATGAGGCTGCAGTGGGTAGGAAGCATCTGTCACTCACTCTAATCAGGAGAGTATTTGATGTTCTGTGTGGCGCAGCGACCTTGTTTTTGTCTGTGCTTAGACAAAAATTATAAAGCGCCTTGCTTTGTCTCACTTACTTGTGCTCTCAGAGTAACCTCGCTGGGGGAGCTCTTGTGTGAGAATGTTTATGTCCAAGAGAAAAATAACCTCATCCTGCCGTCAGTGTCAGGGGCTGCTTTGATTTCTTCCTTCCCCACCTGGCAACCTCCTTATTGAGGCCAGTGGCTTCTCATGTGTTTGTCCTGGACTCTCAGTGTGTGTGTGCTTGTGTGCACACACATGTGTCTAGGTGCGTGTGATTGTGTGCATATATGTGTGTCTTGGTGTGATTGTGTGCATATATGTGAGTCTCAGTGTGTGTGTGATTGTGTGCATACATGAGTGTCTAGGTGTGTGTGATTGTGTGCATACGTGAGTGTCTAGGTGTGTGTGATTGTGTGCATATATGTGTGTCTTGGTGTGATTGTGTGCATATATGTGAGTCTCAGTGTGTGTGTGATTGTGTGCATACATGAGTTTCTAGGTGTGTGTGATTGTGTGCATACGTGAGTGTCTAGGTGTGTGTGATTGTGTGCATACGTGAGTGTCTAGGTGTGTGTGATTGTGTGCATATATGTGTGTCTTGGTGTGATTGTGTGCATATATGTGAGTCTCAGTGTGTGTGTGATTGTGTGCATACATGAGTGTCTAGGTGTGTGTGATTGTGTGCATACGTGAGTGTCTAGGTGTGTGTGATTGTGTGCATACGTGAGTGTCTAGGTGTGTGTGATTGTGTGCATATATGTGTGTCTTGGTGTGATTGTGTGCATATATGTGAGTCTCAGTGTGTGTGTGATTGTGTGCATACATGAGTGTCTAGGTGTGTGTGATTGTGTGCATACGTGAGTGTCTAGGTGTGTGTGATTGTGTGCATACATGAGTGTCTAGGTGCGTGTGATTGTGTGCATATATGTGTGTCTTGGTGTGATTGTGTGCATATATGTGAGTCTCAGTGTGTGTGTGATTGTGTGCATACATGAGTGTCTAGGTGTGATTGTGTGCATACATGCATGTCTCGGTGTGTGTAATTGTGTGCACACATGTGTATCTCGGTGTGTGTGCATGATTGTGTGCATACATGTGCATCTATGGGGCTGAAAGGGGAAAGGAAAGTAGAATTCATTTCTGGCCTTATGTAAACACCAGAAGGTAAAACTTCGCATCTCACCCCACTCCACTTATATTTGATTGCTGTTTTGCGGCAGGCATCTCTGGACAGAGCCAATTTTCCTCGCTGTCATCCTCACAAATCTTGTTTTATTTATTCGCTCATCACCTCCCTCCCTCTTCTGCCTGCTGTTGCCGGCCCCCTTGTGGAATATCTCAACAGCATGGGCTGTTCTGCTGCATCTCTATTTAGGGGCAATGATTTGTTCCAAAGTTACTTGAAGAATCATCTGTGATGGATGGTCCTATGAGGGGGTGGCTCATCAGTTTTTCTGGAAGCAATTTAAAAATGCCCAGAAATGTATAAGGGCTCAAGCATTGCAATAAAGCCCAGAATGGAACTTCCAGTGTGGGAACTGCAGGATTATATGAGAAACAAACCAAACTAAACCAAAAACAAAACAAAAAAACCCCCAAAACAAAGACAAAACAAAAAAAAAATGACAAAACAAACAAACAAACAAACACTGGGAGAAAAGGCTGATATGAGGAAGCATCACTGGGAGGTGCTACTTCTCCACCGAGGCTAACGGGCTGAGCAGTGGGGCTCTGAACTTGTTTACCTTCTTTCCTCCATGTGCCTAAGTGTGCTGTGTGGCTTGAGTCCATGGAGAATTGTCGCTGCTCCTGCCTGGCAGCTTATCACAGTGGGTTATGCTTCCTCCCAGTCACACCTTGCTCCAAGTGACTTAGCTGATGTCTTCATCTCAAAAGTGTCCTGACCCACCCTTTTCTTTTATGGCTTTATTTGGAAGGAAGCTGCTTTTCCCCTTCCTTATGGAATTCATTCAGTTACTATGACAGCTTACAGTTGACTAAGGTTGCATTTTCTCATGGAGAGTGGAGTGAGGTTGAAATTTTGGGTTAGATCTATTCCTCTCTTAATGTCAAACTTAAATTATTTTTCAAATACACTGTGTGACAGAGACATTTATTGCTCAGTGAAAAATCCATGTGACACCCATGTTTTCTGGAACCTTGGGGTTAGGTGGGCCAAGTTCCTCAGCATGACTGTTGGGCTTCTAAAGTGTTTAAGAGAAGGGCCCTCAGTTCTCCTTTCTCTGATGCAGTGATCTGGAAACCACGAAATCCAAATGGTGCAGCCATAAGGAGCAATTCACCTGCGCCTCCAAGTAACTGCCTGAAGGTAAGAGTCCTTAGATAGTGGCTGAAACCACAGAAGACGTGTGGGGCAGGTTGGGGGGAGGGCCGGGGAACAAACGGAGCTTTATGCAAAGGGTTAGTTTTTAATGCCGCATAACACATTCTGATTAATACACTAAACATTTAAATGCTAGAAATTACTATAACTGTAATAACTAAGAAACAAACTAACGCATAACTAAAAGAGGTAATGAACAATTTAATAGCCTTTAAAACGTTGGAATCTTGATGCTTAGGAAATGGAATTTGTGGAGTTTCTGGGAAGGGGCCTTTGGAATAATGAAGGGCTAGCAATTAGTGACATTATTTGACTTCACACCAAATGTCTTTCTTGTTACTTTCATACAGGCTCTGAGCATAATTACAGTCATTTAAACATTTTCACTCACAAATAGGAAAGTTTTCTTTTTTGGAAAGAATGGTAAAAAGGAAAAGGGAGGCATTTGCCATGAAAGTGTGAGAAAATAATCGCCTTAGGTGGAAGTACCTGGGCTGTGAGCAGCAAAACATGGGAGAGAAAAGAAAAGCTCTATGTATTCACGATTCTCAGAGCCCTAAGGAAAAGCTCTATTGATGATTCTTCTAAGAGCCTGGAGAGGCTGAACTTTACATCAGACAGTTTCTAAGTGTGGCCTCTAGAGGTCGCCATCATCCCATGACAGCTTGGTGGTTGAGCGGTGGGGTGATGAGCAAAGAAGGCTGCTGGGGCGCCTGTTGAATGTAAAGAACATTAGAAACTTCAGTTGTTTTTGCATTCTGGGAATAATTTTCATATGCAGCAGTTTTAAAAATTAATGTTAGAGAATGCAGTTTAAATTCCCTCCTAAATTTAGTTATTTCCTAATAAAATCCAAATGTTTGCAGAGTACATGTTGAACAAAACAAATCAGGAGGTGACTGCATGATTTACAAAATAATTCCCATTAGGGTTTCTTTAAATGCTAGTCATTCTGCTTCATTTCATCAATTTAGAATAATTTATTGATGCTAACATTTTAGAAGTAGATTTAATAAAGTGTACAAGCATAGTTTAATCTGATTTAACTCAATATTAAATTTCCTGAACTCTGTAGACTATACGTGGCCATAAAATAACAAGAACTATTCCTTGGGTGACTTCCCAGAGGCACGTTTTGTTAATAGTCCCTTCAGTGATTTTCTGGCTCATCATGAAACCACAGTAGGTGCAAAGTACTTTCTCGTTAATGATTAAACAGTTGTGTGCTGTAAAATTTTTTTTTTTGCAAAATTTCCTTAAAAAATCTTGGAGTTAAATATTCTATGTATACACACACTGTTTATTTTAAAACTATTTTGCTTTTTTCCAAACGGTGGGAAACATTCAAAATGTATTTCTGGAGTAATAGGAGTTTCTTAGAAACTTTTTAAGGACCTGAGAACTAGAGATACGACATGTTAGCATTTATTCACTTTGTCCCTCACAGCACAGGAGAATCATTTCGAGCTGCCTGTTTGCCTCTTTTTAGACAGCTCATTAGGATTCAGACTGTTTCTTGCACAGGGGAGAACTTGGCCTGAGGAAACCATGATGTAGAATGCATTGGGAAGATTCCAGTAGGATCAAGGCAAAAGGGGCTTGGAGGTGGAAAATGGGCCAGGACTGTCCCCTGTGCCCCACCTCCGCCTTGCAACCCTGTCATCAGCACCGGGAAGGCGACCACTATAAGTGCAGCTGCATCTGTTTCAAGTTGTAACATGCAGACGGTCCTGCTTGGTGTGAAGACACCACAGGTAAGCAGACTGACCCGGGCCCTGGAGGGAAGTCGTGCATCGCGTCTCTTGCACACAAGGATGTGATGACCACAGTGATGCTCCCACCCATGTCTGTTAGGTGGAAATGGAGCCGGGAGCTGTGTGATGGAAGCTGTGCTTTCTGAAATAGGAGAGCTGCTGCTTCGCAGCGTGAAATGCAAGGTCCATCCTCGGCTAGCAACAGAGCAAGGGAGGACCAGGTGAATAGTGTGGTAATTACAAATGCAGCTCACTGCTTCAGCTGTGGCACCAAACACATTGTAGTATTTAAAAAGGCCTGTGAACCGAAAGGGCTTGAAACTAATCGATGATGGACAGTGCACCTGGTGACGGACTCATTCCCCTAGTCTGGTGTTGAGGTCATGTGTTGCTGTGGGTGTTACCACGTAGGAGGTTGACACACTGAAGGAAACTCAGCCACGTTCTCATTTGTAACTGCACAATAATGGCCCCCATTATGCTTTCTGGAGGACCCCTTTTTTGGACCACAGTTGATTGGGCTTCTGTCACCCAGTTGTCCCTTGGCCAGACAGTCACCACCCTGGAGGTTTCGGGCAGCGTGGCAGGCTCGGCCGGCTCCCTCCGTGGGCCGCTGCTCTCTGTCACCTCTGCCAGTTCTCAGGCTTGCTTACTTTTGACTTTGTCAGTCACTGCTGAAGCTGGATTTGCAAAGCCGTTTCTTCTTCCCCCGAGGTGCCCTGACCCATCAGACTGGTGTGAAACCCTGGCTGCTTTCCCTAGGAATCCAGCAAACCAAACTCATTTGACCTCTGTGAGGATCCCTGACAGGGTCTGAGAGGCCCCCTTGAGGGAGGACCCGAGGCAAGACACTCTCCACCGCTCGGCCGCCGCTCCTGTGCAGGCCCCATCACCCTCTATGCGCTGCTCCCACTCCAAGGCTCCCAGTCAGCCGCCTCTGGGTGCCTTAGACCCTCGGGGGTCTGGGATGGGTGAGGCCCCTCTCCCCTGACTCTGCTCAGCTGATGTTTTTCCCCCACACAGTGGCAGCCCCACTGTGACTCAAGTGTCCCTCGGACAGACCTGCTGTGGCTCCGGCGTCCTCTCTCACAGGCCTGATCGCTGCACCTCTTCTGTTTGCCTCTCTGGTCAGAGGTGGCTGTTGCTTTCTGTCGTTTCTCATCCCTGGGTCCTTTCACCCTCCCTGTTGGCTGCTCGGTGCCTCCATCACGGGTGACCTGTATGGAACTGTCTCTGCTCTTGTTTTCCTGGCTACATCCTCAAGGACACAGTTGTCTCCTGTCTCCACTGCCTCTTTCGTTTTCTTTGACTGCATTTTGTCCATGGATATTCGTCCACCTTCCAGAAGTTGATGATTCTGACCCCTAAGCCTCCTGTCTGTTTCCATTCCTCTGAGGACTGCAGTCCTGGCAGCATCGCTATCCCCCGGGGATCAGTGCTTCTTGAGTCGTAGGGAACTGTTTCTGTACCTTGTTGTGAGTAATTTGACAAGATTTTCTTTTACATAATCAAAATGTCCCCCAGGAGTCCTTAGGTTCCTTTAAAACGAATATATTTTTACACTTGGGGTTTCAATCTGAAGATTAATGTCAGTGCAATATATGATTAGTTTAGAAGCTTCCCTTTCTAGTACATGAAAACAATGAGTTTTATGATTAAAGTTAATGAATTAACCTCTGCATTCCTTGAGAAGTGTTGGTCAGGCAAATTTGATCTGCATTGATTCTAGTTTTGTTTTTAGGCATGCCAAGATTTCCATTCATTGGATGTCCTTTGTCTCTTTTCTGTCTATCTTACACATTCCAATCTTCTTCCTCTGATAGGAAGTGTTTCCTGCATTCTGGGCGATTTTGTGCAGCTTGTCTTAGGTTGTACTAATTCTGTCAACTCCCCAGTGTTGATTCTCCGTTTTGTTCTGTGCACTGTGGGCTTACGTCCTGGGTGGTGTCACTGTGCCCTGACTTCTCAGCATAAACAGAACTTTTTCTTGCTCTGTGCCCGCCCCAGCTCATCTTTGATCTTCTGTTTCGTGGAGCTCACCTGAACGTCTCCAGCCTCAGCCGCTTTCGATGGCCCTGCACGTTGCATGTTTCTGAGCTCCTACACAATTCCGGGTATATTTCTTTGTTTTTAAGGATTTTTAAATACATGCGCTTCCTACTGTATGATTCAACTACATGACATTCTAGAAAAGGCAAAACTATAGACATGGAAAAAAGACATCGGTGGTTGCCAGGGCCTGGAGGGAGGGAGGGATGAATGGCCACAGCACGGAGGAATTTCCGGACAGTGAGACTATGTGATACTGTAATGGTGTATATCCATGTCATTCTGCGTTTGTTCAAACCGCAGAATGTACAATTCCACTAGTGAATCCTGGTGTAAATTATGGATCTGGGTGATTAGGAGGCATCAGTGTAGTTTGCCGCCTGTCAGGCCTGTGCCGCTCTGGGGCCAGGTGTGCATAGTGGGGGAGGTTAGGTGGGTGTGGGGCACGGGTATATGAGAATTCTCCGGGCAGTCTGCTCAACTGTGCTGTGAATCTAGAACTGCTCTGAAAAATAAAGTCTATTAAAAATATGTACGTATGTGGAAGACAGTGTGGCGATTCCTCAAGGATTTAGAACTAGAAATACCATTTGACCCAGCAATCCCATTACTGGGTATATACCCAAAGGATTATAAATCATTCAATTATAAAGACACATGCACACATATGTTTATTGTGGGACCGTTCATAATAGCAAAGACTTGGAACCAACCCAAATGCCCATCAATGATAGACTGGTTAAAGAAGATGTGGCATGTATACACCATGAAATACTATGCGGCCATAAAAAAGGATGAGTTCATGTCCTTTCAGGGACATGGATGAAGCTGAAAACCATCATTCTCAGCAAACTAACACAAGAACAGAAAACCAAACACCACATGTTCTCACTCATAAGTGGGAGTTGAACAATGAGAACACATGGACACAGGGAGGGGAGCATCACACACTGGGGCCTGCTGGGGTGTGGGGGAGGTGGCTAGTGGAGGGACAACAGCGGGTGAGGGATAGGGGAGGGATAATATTAGGAGAAATACTTAATGTAGATGATGGGGTGATGGATGCAGCAAACCACCGTGGCACACGTATGCCTATGTAACAAACCTGCACATTCTGCACATGTACCACAGAACTTAAAGTATAATAAAAAAATGTACATTTGCATCCAACAATTCTCTATGCAATTAAAAATAATATAGGGACTTTAGAATAAGCCGTAAATGCCATTTTCTCTTTTAAGTGACCCCTGACAGTTCCTCCCTAGAAGGAATTCCTATTAACACCTGCCTGTGTCTCTCTAGGTCCTTTTTTATGCCTTCCTGTGCACTTACACGCACACCCACACACACACACGCTCTCACACACACAGACACATGAACACATCCATACACATGCACACGCACAACAGTAAAATGCAAACAGGATTATACTTTACATATTCCACAGCTCTGATTTTTTTTTTTTTTTTGAGACTGAGTTTCGCTCTTGTTACCCAGGCTGGAGTGCAATGGCACGATCTTGGCTCACTGCAACCTCCACCTCCTGGGTTCAGGCAATTCTCCTGCCTCAGCCTCCTGAGTAGCTGGGATTACAGGCACGCGCCACCATGCCTAGCTAATTTTTTTTGTATTTTTAGTAGAGACGGGGTTTCACCATGTTGACCAGGATGGTCTCGATCTCCTGACCTCGTGATCCACCCGCCTCGGCCTCCCAAAGTGCTGGGATTACAGGCTTGAGCCACTGTGCCTGGCCCACAGCTCTGATTTTTAAACGTACACTCTGAACATCAATCTTTAGCCTATGGTACATGTTGCAAATATTTTCTCTCATTTTCCCTTTTTTATGGTATTCTGTGGCCATAGGCATGTTTTAAATTTTCATGTAGTCTTTTCTTTGCCTTATGAATTTTGTGACTAGCTTGGAGAATCCTTCCCTGCCACAAGATTATGAAGTTATTTTGATATTTTCTTTCATTCTTTCAAAATCATTTAGAATTTACTTTTGGTCATGGTATATCAATTTTATGTTTCTCCTTAAGGATAGCCAGTTACTTGAAAACCATTGAATACATGGAAGAAAGCATTTTCCCACACTGATTTAAAACGCCGCCTTAGTGACATATCTAGATTTTCTGTTCGGTTCTATTGATTTATTTATCCATTCCTTCATAAACACGTTATGTTAATTTCTATAACAAGACAATGTGTTTTGCTGTCTGGCCTACTTCCCTTAATTGTGTGTTTTAAATCAGAATTTTATTAGTGTTTTTGAATTTATTTACTCTGCCAGATGAATGTGGGAATCAATGTGTCAGGTTCTAAAAACATCCTGTTGCAATTTTGGTCAGGATTGCATGGAATATGCAGACCAAGTTTGAGACCATTGAGAACCTTTACAGGTGTTTTCCTGCGGTTCTTGCACCTTTCTTGCCAGAGGCATGTCTAGGCTTTCTCTTCCTCTCGTTACTGCCACTGGGATCTCTTTTTCCCCTATTGCACTTTCTACTTGCTGTGACTAGTACACATCTAGAAAATGGTGTCAGTGTAATTCATGTGAGTGGCTGTGACAGTCTTAAAGTTTCATTGCTTTAACAGCTGGAAATGTTATTTCTTGCTGACGGACAAGCTACTGTAAACGGGCCGCTTTCATCTCAGCGATGCCTTAGCACCCCAGTTCTTTCCACTGCAACCATGCAGAGTTGAGAATTATGGGACTCTCTTCCTTAAGATTGCTGGCTGCACGCTGACCCTGCCTTTCTGAATGTATCTCTTTCTTGTGATGGTTTTCCAAGTGTGGCTTTCACAGCACGTGCTGCTAACCTCCGCTCTTCTCCAGAATGACAAGAGCCTCTAGCACGTAGCCTGTGCTCCAAGAAATAAGAGGCAAGAGTTTCACTAGATATTTTGCCACAAGATAATGTTGATCCAATTTTCCAGTCCTAAATATCATTTTCTTACCTGTTGACATCTAGCTGCCGGAATAATGCTGGGTAGTTTAGGTTTTATTGTTAAAACACCCCATCAAGCATCCTGTTTCCAGTTACCAAGTTCTCATGAGGGTAATTAACATGAGCTGATGTCACAAACAACCCACAGATGTCATCATTGAAGCATTTTCTCTCTCACCTCATAGGCCTAATGGATTTGTTCTGATTTTGAAGCTGTTTTCCCTTTGTCTTTTCTAGGAAATTGGGGAAGAGCGAGGGGAAGGAGCTGTATCTTGTCCTCTCTGCATCTGTGATCCAAGGCTTTCTTGTGAATTGGTTTTTACCCACATTTAAACTATGATGCCCAGAATGGAACTCAGAGCTGCAAGCACCCCCATCCATCTTTGGAAGCCCTGGACATACTCAATGGAGCCGGCAGAAGACCTGCAGCCCCAAGTCTGCCTGTCGGTGAGCCTGAAGTTGCTATGCTCTTGGTGTCATGTATTCCCACTGTGAATGCTTTTGCCAGCTCTTCCCACTGGCCATTTGGTCATGTCCTTATCCAGATGGAAGCAATTCCTGACCCCAGGCCCTCGCCACCACGCCCATCCTGCTGGGGTGCCCCCAGCTGCTACTGCCTCCTGGGGCCACACCCTCCAGCCTGCACCCCTTGCTTTGGAGCCTGCAAATCCTGCCTGAGCTGCTCTCAACCTTTGGAAGTCAAGGATTGGACGTTGTTCCTTGAACGTATTTTTGGTTATGATTTTCTCTTTTCTCCACAGAAAGGCATCTCCCTGGAGGCATTGGGCTCCCTCTGAGCTCAGCTGTGGCTCTCGGCCTTCCTCCTCCAGCTCCTGTCCTCTTCTACCAGCCTTGAGATGGTGGTGTGGAGTTATGTTCCCTCTGTTTTGTGTGGGCTGCTTATGTCTGGGATGATGGAATCGTCACTAAATGGGAAATGTTTATGGAGGAGAGAGATGGGGAAGTCATTCCCTCCTGTTAACATTTTGGTCCAAGTTAGCTTATTCATATGAATGTCACAAAGTCATAAATTGCTCCTAATCAAATCTGTGCACACAGTAAAGCCTCTTTCATGCAATGAGAGTGCTTACTTAATTGAATGTTACATATAAACGAAGGTTACTCCTTCAAGCGACAAACGTGTGAGGAATGTCAATGGAAAATTCTGAAAATGAGCCCCTGAAGGAGGGAAGATGGCAGATGGAAGACGCTGAAAGAGAATAGGATGGGGCCAGATGCTCTGGGAGAGCACCCAGGGAATCCCAGTTACCCTTGGGTTTCACGTCCACGGGCAATACCAGGATGCCAAATGGCTTTCTGAGAATCCATCCCTCTTCAAGGACTTGTGGCCAGAGACTTGTCTATAATGGGACCTGCATCATGTCAGAGCCCTAAGCCTATTTTTTTTTTTTTTTGAGATGGAGTTTTGCTCTTGTTACCCAGGCTGGAGTGCAATGGCGAGGTCCCGGCTCACCACAACTTCCGCCTCCTGGGTTCAGGCAATTCTCCTCCCTCAGCCTCCTGAGTAGCTGGGACTACAGGCACGTGCCACCATGCCCAGCTAATTTTTTGTATTTTTAGTAGAAACGGGGTTTCACAATGTTGACCAGGATGGTCTCGATCGCCTGACCTTGTGATCCACCTGCCTCGGCCTCCCAGAGTGTTGGGATTACAGGCGTGAGCCACCGTGCCCGGCGCCCTAAGCCTAATTAACCACCACTGCGTGAATTAGCGTCCTCATGGTGTCACCTTAGATTCTTCTGAACAAGGGCGAACCCGCCAGCGTTGATGTCAAGGCTCCATCTGGTTCTCCTGGTGTTAGGTGGAAACGTGAGGCTGGATCTGCTAAGGAACCTTTCACTCCTGCGTATGGCAGGGCTTCTTCTCTACGCCCCACCCGCAAGGGAGCCAGGCCTTGGCGTCCCAGACCACAGGAGCAACCAAAATGAGTGCCGACTCTCGGGAGACGATGATGGGAGCTGTTTCCTTATCCTTTTTTCAGAGCCCTAGAAGTTTACAAAGATAAAAAACAAGAGCATTTCATGGGAAACAGCATGCAAAGGCCCATACACGCTGTATATTTTTATACGAATCAGCAGAAGATAAAGAGCTTGTCTTGATTCATGCTGTTCCTCAGGGAATGTTTTGAAAAAAAGCAAAAAATCAGTGAGAAGAGTGATGCCTATAAATATAATCGGAAAGGAAAATGAAAACAACCCTCTAAACGCTGAGTTTGACGAAAGCGTAACAAAGCCGAGGAGCATTTTTATGTTTTTTTCCTTTCAGTTTTGCTTTTGATCATGTTTCTTCCTGGGGTTTTAAGAATATATACATCAAGTGGGAGAGACAAAAACCCCAAATAACTGTAGAATGATGAGAACGAAGGAAAGAGAATGTAGGCCCTTTTATCCCATGTTGTTTTTCTCAGAAAAATTTACAGTCTAACATTTCTCCTGATTTTCACTGGAAAGCAGTTTTCATTCAGAGTGAAATGAGTGAGGATCATGAGTTTGCCTGGATGTCTTTTTTTGTTTTGAAACCAGCACTGTGTAGTGTTCTTACTTTCAAACATGTGTCTCGAGTTTACCCTTCAATACCTGAAAGTCTGAAATTTTACAGGGACAAAGTACAATTAAGAATTAAGCTAAAAAGAGCTAAATTGTGGTCAACAAATGTTTCTGTTAAAGGACCAGAAAGTAAATATGTTCTGTGTTGTGGCCACAATTCGACCCAGCTCTGCCATCCTCGCACAAAAGCAGCAAGAGACGGGCTGCACACAGAGGGGGGCTATGTTCTCAGACACTTCTCGGGTATTCGCATGTCAATTTCACACAATTCTCACATGTCACAAAATGTTAAGATTCCTTTGATTTTTATTTCAGCCATTTAACAGTGTAAGAACGATTCTTAGTTCATGGGTTCTATAAAAACAGGCGACAGCTGGATTTGACCCACGGGCCATAGTTTGCTGACCGTTGTGCTGAATCACGCTCTTGACCTGATTTACTGTTAAAGTTGTTCTGATAAACACATTTCAACACTCGAAAATGATGGGTGGATTCATCTGTTTTATCGAATACTTTTACTTTTCATTACTGACCTCTGTCTTGGTTAAAGATGCCAAGAACTTAAGCATTACTCATCAGATGTTCTACCATGACCTCGGGTCCCAGGCCAGGGAGGCTGGCATAACGAGGGTCGGATGGCGTGTGGTGGTGGTAACCATGATGATGGAGGCTGCTAGAGAAGCAGAACTGACTGTGTGTCTGGGACTGTTTGAAGGGCTTTAGAACGCCAGCCCCCAGCTAGTCAACACGATGAACCTAAGAGAAAGGTGCTAACATTCATCCTCAGCTGAGGCACAGGAGGCTGACTGACCTACTCAAGATGACATACAGTCCAAGTGGGAGCATCTGTCCCACACTTGGGTGGGCCAATCCAGGAACCGCACTGACCCTTTCCACTACAGAGAGGAGACTTCCCCCCTGCCAAGGACTCATCCCGAGAAAGCAGCGCAATGAAATAAAACGGAGATGAAAATGAAGAGCAATGAAATGAGCTGAAACTTGGAGAGCTGCTTACCTGAAGAGTAAACAAGTTCTGCCATAAATGCCAAGGATCCTGCAAGTGATAGAAACTCAACGTCAACTAACCGAAGCTCACCTGAGCGGGACGGCCAGGGTGAGCGTCCCGAGAGCTGAGCCCAGAGACTAAAGCATCGTCCTCAGGATGCCCCCTCCATCCCCTGCCACCTCCCGTCTCTGCCGTCTCCATTCTGCTTTCAGGTGGGTCTCATTGACCCTCACTACAATGAAACAATGTTCAGGTGGCGAAGACTGCTTCTGACAGCCCTACCCTAGAAACTGGTAGGTCAAATTATGAGATTAAGCTCCCCTTCCCATCCAGCTCCAGGGAGAAGTCCAGGGAGCTGCTCCAATGACCTCCCAGTAGTGGTTAAACGCCCTCCCAGAGTGAGTGCTGTGGGTGCTCTGGTGCCATTTTCCCAGCCTATTACGCACTCAACACAATACCAGGGGAAGGTGGGGAGGTAACTGCCAGTCCCACGAACACTTGGATTAGGAAGAGAATTCCACAAAGGAGGGACCGAGGCACACTACAGCCAGAGAGGAGGGGCTCCCCAGCTGATATGACTGAACTCTAGGGGCCCAGAGTAAGAAAAGAGCCTTGGCACCCTGCAGGCGACCCTGGATGAGACCATAAGAAAACTTCCTTATATTTCAGCTCATTAAACTGGCTCAGAGAACGAAAATGACAGCAAATGGGTGTTTTCCTAGCATTAGAATTATTGCATGAAGTGGTTCTGGCCGAGCTGTAGCACACAGGTTTTTAGGTAGACTTTCCATAGTCTGATACATGTGCACAGACACACACATGTGCACACGAGCCTGCACATTCACACATGCACGCACCATGCACACACACATGCACACACAGCTTGCACAGTGCCTGGGTCGGAACTAAACAGGCTATGTCCTGAAATCTCAGTGGCTCAATACAGCAACAGTTTCCTCTGCACTTGCATAGGCAGAGGACTCCGGGAGCTTCCATCTTGTGACTCCATACACTCAACGCGTAGTTCCCTGATCTCCAAGGTGGGAAAATTATGCCCACTGTCCTTGAACTCCCATTTGCCAGCAAGGGCAGGTTTACACACCTCCCTCCTCCCCGCCATAACATGACAAAATGGTACAGTGACATGCACGCACCTCATACTATGAACCACCTCATAAAAGAATTCCAGTGCTGGGTACAAAGACTTTGCCATCATTTTGTCCTCTCTGAGCCAGTTTTCAATGAGGTGAAATGCAATGAAATATTGTTGCAGGCTCAGTTCGGGTCTCCTGGAGGAAGCCCAGGCCCTGTCCCTCTCCGATCTCCTGGAGGATGCCCAGGCCCTGTCCCTCTCCGATCTCCTGGAGGGCCGTCACACCCTTGAACTCCCCATCATAATCACCAGTTTCTCACTAAGGATGTGATGGTTAATCTCGTGTGTCAACTTAGTTGGGCTCCAGTGCCCAGATATTTGGTCCAAACATGACTGTGATGTTTCTGTGTTCGGTGTTTTTTGAATGAGGCAAACATTTAAACAGGTGTACTCTGAGTAAAGCAGATTCCCCCCCTAATGCAGGTGAGCCTCATCTCACCAGGTGAAGGCCACCATGGGACAAAGACAGAGGTCTCCCGAACAGGAGAGTAGGAAGAAATTCTGCCAGCAGGCAGCCTTCGGACTCCAACTGCAACTCTTCCCTGAGTACCCCCAGCCTGGCAGTCTACTCTACCCGATGCTGGACTCATCAAACCTCCAGCCAATTGCTTATAATCTCTCTCTCTGCATATATACATACATATGTGCACATATATGTGTGTATGTGTGTATATATATATAGACAGAGAGAGATGAGTGGATGAGTGTGTGTGTGTGTGTGTGTGTGTGTGTCTGTGTCTGTGTCAAGAGAGACAAAAAAGAGAGCCTTTATTGTCAGAGGAGAAGTAAGAGCAGGTGGACTCAAAGATCTCAAGCTGTGGTTAGTATATTTCTAGTATTTCAGACCCTGAAAACGAACAGCGTTTCTTTTCTTCTCATATGGCCGCCTCCCCTTCATGAGTTGAACGCACTCACGGATCACTGAGCAAATCCAGCATCCCCCTAGTCTACACTCTGGGTACCATTTTTCTCGTGTGTGTGTCTGTGTGTGTTTTGCCATTCCACACTAAAGAACATTGACTATTGTTTTACCCTGGACTTTAAAAAAAAAATGGCTTGATACAAAATGCCTTTCCTTTAGTCCCTCCCACACTACATTTTTCTATTTGCCTCTTCCCATTAAAATGAGGACTTTTGTTGATTTGGTGTATGCACCTGCATGGCACTAAGAAAGGAAAGGTCCATTCTATTGCAGGGACTGGCACAAAAGTCAGCCCCCAAACTAAACTTGGTCTTATCTAGAAAGTGAAATAGCCAAGAATCCTCTAAAATGAAGGAGATTCCAGAATATAAGGGTGAATGCAGAGGCAAATGCTGTTGTGAAATGCAGCATTTCTTATCCCATTCAGTTATTAATGACCCCCTAACATGGCATGGTGGACAGGTATTAATTCCGACCTTCCATACAGTTTGGATTCCTATCCTGTCTCATCATGACTCAGTTTCCCTATCTATGACATAAAAATAAAAAATACCACAAATTCTCTCAAAGTTTCTGCAAAGATTAGTGTGAGCAACGACAAGTACCCAATTTTCTGGAAACTGCCTTAAATCACTAACAGAAAATTCATGAACAAAAGTTACCTCTAAGAGAATGAGTATCACAGCTGAAGAGAAACTTCCATTTCCTTGCAGCCATTCTCTGCAAAGTAAGGAGCCTGATGTTTCCCAAAACCATCTGTTGCCTTCTTCTGTTATTCCAGCTGAATGCTTTAGAAATCATTCTGCACCACTAAAAATAAAATCCACGTAGAACCTAAAATAACCAACGCCAAGTTACTGGAGCCAAATTCAGGTTGTATTTTTAAAAGTGTCTATGAAACCATCTATAAATAGAAAGGCTTTCGTGTTATTTTTATTACTTCATTTTAATGGAAACAGACTCCAGTTGGTTAGGATGTGGAGAGGCCCTGCAGGGCTCACAGCCCTAATGCCACGGCACCAGGCGCGCCCTTCCAGATGGAAGGCTGACTCCAGCCAAAGGAATCTTGGGGGGTGGTGTTGCACCCAGAGCATCTTCAGTGCTTGCTCTAGGTTATTCATCCCAAAGCCTCCTTAGAAACCTCCTGGGGTGTCTCAAATCCTTTCAAACATGAGCATATTTCTGTAAATCAAATGACAAGTTGATTTTCTTCTATTTTAGGTGAATGTGGACCACAGAGAGCTTCTCTGGGAGTTGGCAGAGGAAACACTAGGCAATGCCACAGCTCCAGGGTCTGCTGGCAGGAGGGTGTGTCTGAGATAGGCATCTCTGAGGTGTAGTGTGCCCGTCTAGGCCCCCAGAGCCAGGGAGCCTCTAATTCACATGCCACCTCACGGGGCAGGAAGAGGGCTCATTACCGCCTCGCATTGGCTTAGGGCAGACAGGGAACAAGGAGACAGCCCGGTGGCGCTCTGGCAGTGGCCTCCATCCCTAGACCTGGATAGGAAGCTGAGAGTCTGGGCAAGTCCTAGCGGGTGGCTCCCATCTGCCTGAGTGTCACCATGTGCCACCATGAGCCGTGGGAAATAAGCAGCACATCAGATGGGCAGAGAGTGCCCTATTCTGCTTCCTATGGCAAAAACTGAGCCTTCACGCCCCCAGCCGCAAACAGCTCCATCTCCTGCTGCAAAAGTGTGTTCGAGAGCTACAGCTTGACTGGCCAGACAGATATTCGAGCTCCTTGTCTCAGATTTTCTGTCTGGGTCACTGACCTGAAGGCCGCGACAGATCCGGTAACACTCATCCAGCAATATGAGGGTGTCACTCTGCCAGCCATCTACTGTGTGGCCTTGGGTATGTTCCTTAACCCCTCTGTGCCCCGTGGGTTCTTCAGCTGTAAGAAGGGGGTATAACTGCACCTGTTCATAGGACAGTTGTGGATTAAGTCAGTAAGGAGCCTGGCATCATTCCTGGCATCATTCCATAAGCCCTATGGAAGTTTTTGGCAATAAGATCATTAAATGTACAAGTTAATGTAATTCTGAATATCATGGGTCCATAGGATAAACTGATTGTGTATCAACAGGAATTTGTTCTAATAGATTACGTCCTGTCTCCGACAACAGCAGAGTCTCCATGAAATGTGAAAGTGTAGGCGTGTGTACTCCTGCTCGTGAAGGACAAGTTAGATAACTTGCAAGAATTATGATGCACTTTATTTGTTCTCAGGATGATGATTTTGTCACGTTCCTGTCACTGTTTCACAGGAAGCAGGTAACAGGGCCACCCATTGGTATGTGTAAAATAAACCTATCAAAGCAAAAACGTGGTATCAAACCACATGCTTTCCACGGTGCCTGTCAACGAGGGCTCACCGTGGCCCTCTCCAGCCCTTGCAACTGAGTGACGGCTCAGTGGACCGGCAAGACGGCATCTCCAGGCCCTCTCCTGTCACTTGAAGGAGGCCTCTCATCTCTCTGGCCACTGGCACCCCAATTCAAAATGAGGATTTTAACAAGATGAACCCCTATATTTCCACCTTGACTTCTAAATTGTATATTGCAGAGAGTGCTGGAAAAAAAAGAATGAAGTGAAAAAAATTAAAGAAAAGGAAAGAGAAAGGATTCGCTAACCCATGAAGTTTATGTCCAGACGACTCACAAATGACATTCTGAGAAAAAGATGTGGTTATTGCAAGCAGAGTTTCTTAAACATCACGTGCCGAGCCCTCCTTCGAGGGTTGTTTGTGTCTTGTTGGGTGTTGGTGATTCTGGTGCCCACGTTTCATGATGCTGGCACAATTCTTTTTCTCATCAATGGGAGAAGAGCTGTTACTCAGGACAGCCACGCTAGCCTGGACTGATTTGGAAAACTGTCCTACGCCAGAAATAAACAGGCCATCAATCCCAAATGTCAAGCATGACACAAGGAAGTTGGAAGGACCCACCAAACTTAAGGATTCTCCTAACACAGAAACTGAGGAGGAACAGTACCTAGGACTCAAAGACCAGAAATGTTCCTTCAGTGTGCTGTCTTTTGTATTCATGTTGGGGTGCAGAGGGGTCATTAGAAGCAAAGCATTGTAGAGTCCCTTTTGGAGTATTGACCAAAAATTTTATAAAATGTATAATTTTACTCAAAATTAATCATAGGTCATTGGAGTGAATCTCATATGAATGGCAGTCCTCCCAGTAATGAATGAGTTCTCACTCTTAATTCATTGCAGAGCTGGTTGTTTAAAAGAGCCTGACGTTTCTCTTGCCGTGTGACATGCCAGCTTCCCCTTTGCCTTCTGCCCTCAGTAAAAGCGTCTGCACCAGAACATATGTTGTTGCCCTGCTTGTGGAGCCTGCAGAACCGTGAGCCAAATAAGCCTCTTTTCTCTGCAAATTCACAGTGTCAGGTATTTCTTTATAGCAATGCAAAATGGACTAAGGCACCTGTCTACACCACTTAGTTCAATTTATTATATTTTGGGGGGCTGTTTAATCAGCATACATTGACCTTTACGTGTCAGCAATTGAGTGAAGGTGATATTCAGTTGTTTTTGTGTCTTCATAAGCAGATACCTGGCATAAATCACTTAAGACATCTTATTTCTATTTGGATCTGATTTCCCAAATCTATCTATCTATCTATCTATCTATCTATCTATCTATCTATCTATCTATCTATCTCTATCTATCTATCAATCAATCATCTACATACATATAATATTTTCAAATATATGTATTTGAAAATAGCCTTCTGAGGCTTGCTATCTTCTGCCTGGACTATTTCAAGATTCCTCTAGAAGAAGATGAAGGCAGTTCCGTGTTCCTGTGTGATGGGGATGCTGCAGGATGTGGCCCCTTGTTCTGGGAGCTCCTGGAACTCTGAACTTCTCACCCAGGCTGTTCTGGTGCTAGAAAACTTTTCTTCACGGATAAGTTGAAAAACCTTGTTTGCAAACTGTCAAAGTCCCCGAGGCACCAGTTTCTCTGAGCATTCTCACCTGTAGCTAACATTTCTCTTGCGACAGTACACCAGGTCTAAAATTCAGTTTCCTGGTATTCTGGTATATGATGGAGGTACCATGAGACAAGGCCTAGGAAGCTTTTGGCCAGGAGCAATTCTTGTATGATGGCTTGAAAAGAAAAGCCTGAATAAGATGTCATGTGGAGAATATTTAAGTGTATGGAGCTACTGAGTTATACTTTCCAAAATGTGATACAGTTGAGAATACTTTTATTGAAGAATTAAATCCATGGCCATGACTTCCTTAACTTTCTAATCACTTTATAGAGCTATATTTGTGCCATAATTTGAAGAAGATTGGGCTGTGACCACTGGACAATGTCTATGGTACCCCTGGCCATCTTGACCTGACCCTGGTTTTTAAAAACTGAAAACCTTGGCATACTGCCATGCTTCCCAGCTCTGCCCTACTTGCCTCCAAGAGAAGCTTCTAGATACAGAAAACATGGACTGAAGAAGGACTCAGCTTTTCTCAGGGGCAGCAGTGCAGAGAAGAAAGGATATGAGCAAAAGGCAAATGACTCTGGAGAGGGGACGAGTGTGTGCATGGTGTTTGCACAAAGCTGAGGACAGTGTGGTCCATGGCAATGAGTGACTGGTGTGTTTCTGCCTTGTGCTGGGTGGGTCTGGCTGTGTGGCACTTGCTGTGGCAGGTGACTGAGGACTTTTGTGCCCATCTTGGCAATGTGGCCCGAGGAGTGTGCCTGGAGCTGGCTGGAGTCAGGGAGGCTGGAGATTGCTTTTGGAAATCCAAGGGGCCTGGGCCCTAAGGCACCCGTGCCCACTCACCTCCACCTCCCCAGATTGGCAGCTGCTATCAAGGCTGGGGTGCTGCAAACACAGCTGGACCCAAAGTCTGAGGGTAAAAGACAACTGTGTGCTTTCACAGCTGTGGCCAGAAATAGCAACTGCTCCTTGTAAACCATCAAAGAAATACAGATGTATTCCCACAAAAATAAGCATCCTCTTTTCCCAGTGCTAACCAATATTAATGGTTATATTTGTATTTGTATAACTGTTATTTTTTGAGGGTGACTTCTTTTTAGTGTAATTATATGCTGCATTTCTGCAGGTCTGGGAACTGTGCCATGTTGGCTTTATCTGAGTTACCTGCCTTAGGTCACCATCTCAGGACTGAGCCACAGAGGGTGAAGATGGAATGGGATGGAATGGTATGGAGATCAGCAGGCCAAGAAGGGTCTAAAATCCATCCAAATTAGGTGAGAAATCTGGTTCCTGTCATGTCCTCTAGCGCCCTCTACTGACCAAGCTCAGCACCGTACTAGCAGGTGAGGGAGGAAAGTTTGCGGGGCCCAGAGCCAGGATCACAACAGGCATTGAAGGGTGAATTTGGAGCTATAAGGCAATATTTTAATCAACACCACAGAGTGTAGGAGTAGGTATTCAGTAACAGTAAAGACCAAATTCCCCTCCCCCAAGGGGCTTGCATTCTTGCCAGAGGAGACAATGTCAACTCAACAAAAAAGTGCAGTGCACAGATGTGAGTGGTTATGAGTGCCAAGGTGGGGAATGAAACCAAAGAAGGGGTTGGGAGTGCATGGAAAGTTTTAATGTAGACTCCGCTGGGGCTGGGAACGACTCCTAGACACATGGCCTGACAGCAGTGAGGGAGAAGCATGTACCAAGGCCCTGCGGTGGGAGATTCCTTGGTGTTACAAAGGTAAGCAAGAGAGCCAGAGGGACTGGGGTGTAGTGAACATGGGAGAGACAAGGTCACAGAGGTAGCAGGCCTGGAGAGTGTGTGCATGTGTGTGTGCATATGTGCAGGTGTGTGCCTGGATGAGAAGGTATATATACATGTGTGTGTACGTATGTAAATTCATGTGCATTCGGTTGTGCAGGAGTGCGAGTGGCAGCATGTGTATGCATATATGTGAATGTGCACCTGTGTGAGTGTATGCATATGTGTGCACATATGAACATGGGTATGTGCACATAGACGTGAACACAGGTATTTATGCATTATAAACATGCATAGCTTATGATGCAACATGGCAGGCATAGTTGCATTATAAACAATGCAACTATGAGAATATGTGCACATGTGTGCAGAGTGTGTGCATGGGCATATTTATGCATGCATATATATGTGTTTGTGTTGTAGGCAGGACTTAAGCATCCTTGTAGACCATTAGAGGAGCACTAACTTTTACTGTGAGGAAAACAGAAGCCACTGGAAGGTTTTGAGCAGAGGAGCGGCAGAATTATCTCCGTATTTTAATAGGATCTCTGCGGCTGCTGTGGGGGAGACTTTGCTGTCATGGGTCAGGGCTGGGAGCAGGGGCTCCTGGAAGGAGGTGGGGGACAATAGTGACTTGGCTTAGGGTGGAAGCAGTGGAGATGCTGAGAAGCAGGCAGGATCTGGATGTATTTTAAAGATAACACCAACTGGATTTGCTGAAGAGATAAAAGGAGATAGTGATTGGTCTGAAAGTTTCTAACTGAGGAATTGTTTGAGCTGATTTCTAAAGGGACGGGAAAGTGGATCTTCCAGCAACTGCAGGCTAAGATAAGGAACAGGCGGTGAAATCACTTTTAGGAATCGCTCAGCTCATCTGTTATCTCCTGGAAGAGGGTGGGGCACCACCAGGGCCACCGACTGGTGAGGGAGGGCTCCCCCGGGAGAGTTTGCTCATCTTGGCTGCTCTCTCTTGAACTTGGCCGTGTGATCTAAGGATTCCAGATGAATGCTGACATTTGATTTCATGTGCAGCATCTTAAAGCAGAATTTCTTACTGGCAGGCTAAGCTGTTCCCTGCACAAGACAGATTATGTGTCTTCCTATAAACTTCAAAAATAAGCTCAGGAAATTCAAGAACTCTGAATTGTCAGAAAACAGCTCTGTCCTTCCATCAAACCCGCTAGGAATATGCTGAAGACCACAGGAGTGATGTCGGCAGAAGCATTTGTCCTTTTCCTCTTTCGAATTGTTTGGTGAAAGGTGTTTCCTTTCTGTTTAGATGCAAGCTTCTTCCCAGAGTGGAGGCTTAGAGGCAGGCTCTGTGCCACGCACTCCCCAGTGCTACATGGTGCATTTTGACTGAAGCGAACACCCTGAGAAGATTTTGCAGGAAAACCAAGAAGAGAAATGAAAATTTCCCCTAGTGGAGGATGTGCAGAGGCACCCTAAAATGCACGTATGGGAGCCATATCCCTCTTTGCCCTGTGTAAATACCCAGCCATCTTCTTTCCTGTCTGTTCTGAGCCCTCTGAGTCCATACATGAGCATTCAGAACTATGGTGTCACTTGAAGGCCAGGGTTTCAGCAGTTGTTCAGCTTAGGAGGAAATGCAATTTCCCTTCAGGATGCCGTGTGAGGGCAGGAAGGATCCTCAAGGCCTTCACCCTTTGGTCAGGGCTGTTAAACACTCTCAGAAATGGGACTTGCTCTTAACCAAATGTAAATGTAAGTTACTTTCCAGGCCAAATACAACCAACTCTTTATCATCTTCAGTTCTAAATTCTTTGTGCCTCTCTATGCAAGCATTATCAGAGATAATTGAAAATTTGCAGCACTTAAATGTATGTTTTAAAAAATGATTCAGGAAGCCTGTCAATGTCTCAAGACTATTACAGTGCCACTTATTCCTGCCAAGAGGTCTACCAAGCAGTTTTGATCCAAATGTAGTATCTCTAAGTATCGGCCTCCTCTGGCCTCCCAGGAGACTCGCTTCACTCTTGTCACGGATGTGTCTGGCTGTGGCTTGGGTCCCTTTGATGAAAATAAGAAGCTTCCCTTGTGTGAGGGCCCCTGGGACTCTTCTGGAGAAGTAGCAGCATTAGCTCAGCCCCACAAATTGTGGCTGTCACCAGCAGGTGTGTCCACAGGATGAAATACGTTCACGCAATGCAGGAGCCCCTTCCGAATGTGTTGAATCTCTCCACCCAGTTCACCTTGGGAGAGAGTCAGGCAGGCTTTGGGAATGGATTTAGAGGAGTACTTTGACTCTCCTGCCTAATGAAGATTTGCTATGCATTAAGGCTTTAAATCACTGAAGCCAAGAACTACTAATAATCAGAGCCGATAGAAGCATTAAGGAAACCTTTAATCCCCTGGTCCTGGGAGCTGGAGTTTGCACAGCCTATCATTATGCACTGAAACGACTATTCTTAATGGGGTTAGCACGGCTGAGATTGGTAATTATTACAGGCACTGCTTGCTGAGCCTCCATGAGCGATGCCTCAGCCCTGAAAGATCTTCTGGGGTGTTACTTTATGACTGTCCCCGGCTGCTGTTGGCTGGATTAAAATGAACACAAACACTACTGCAAAATTGCTCTTCAGGAAGACTTTGCTGAAAATTTGCTCCCAAGTGTTTATTTGTTTTAGGCATAAGGGGTCAGAATTAGTGGTAAACATCAGAGTATAATTCTTAGATACTTTCGCAGTTAAATCTATTCTCTATTTGTAGATTTTTATTTTCCCCTCTTTTAAATAATTGCCTTGATCATATTACACCACAGTATCAGCCTTTGAAAAATATTTTTCTTTATCAAAAATTTGCCTGACCTGGATTGTGACATCATTTTTTTTTCATAAAGAAGGTTTGATGAACGTGTTCATGAATCCACACTATGTTTATTGGGGAAATTTATAGTTAAACCTGTATCTTCAACCCTCAAATAATGTCTTATTTATTTGTGTTGCAATAAAGTGACACATGAGGCTGGGTAATATAAATATAAATATAAATATAAAATATATATATAAATATATTTAAAAGGTTTATTTGGCTCATGATTCTGCTGGCTGGAAGACTGAGCCTCCAGTGAGGCCTCAGCTGCTTCCACTCATGGTGAAAGGGAAAGGGGAGGTGGTGTGTACAGAGATCACACCACCCTTATCAGCCCCTCTCCTGGGAACTAATAGAGCAAGAAGTCACTCATTACTGTGAGGACAGCACTAACTGCCCCGGGGCCCAAACACCTCTCATTAGGCTCTGCCTCCACTACTGGGAATCAAATTTCGACATGAGGGTTAGAGGGGGCAGCATTCAAACCACAGCTACTAAGCATTCGTTTGGCCTGCATTTGGTGTGTGTGCTTAAAAACGGGAAAAGTGAGAGGGGCTGGTCACTGGCAGAGGAATTCAGAGCATATTAATATCCACAGGACTTGGACAAAGGCAGTGGGTAGAAGTGGCAATACACTTTAATAAACGTGCCTTCGAGAATCGCTTGAACCCAGGAGGTGGAGGTTGCAGTGAGCCGAGATTGCACCACTGCACTCCAGCCTGGGCAACAAAGTGAGACTCCTTCTCCAGAATAAATAAATAAATAAATAAATAAATAAATAATAAAAGGGCCTGGAAGGCGGTTCTTCATTAACATGGGGATGACTGATGTGGTGACAGTTTTGTAGGTACAGTTTCAAAGATGCCACCTTCAAGCATGATTGAACTAACATTATGAGACCCCTCTGGAGTGTCTGACCTGTACCCCTTTTCATTACCGTAGCATTTCACAGCCAAGAGCTTCAGTCAGACAACATTTACTGGGTCTGCATAGTCTTCCCATGTGATTTATAGCCTGTTCACCAAGATTGCTGTATAAAAATTGGTCCTGGCAGGCACTGGTGTTTTTACATTGAAATTCCAGTGTTATAATTTTTTTTTTTTGAGAGAGTCTCGCTCTATCACAAGGCTGGAGTGCATTGGCCCTATCTTGGCTCACTACAACCTCTGCCTCCTGAGTTCAAGTGATTCTCCTGCCTCAGCCTCCCAAGTAGCTGGGACTATAGGTGCCTGCCACCACACCCAGCTAATTTTTGTATTTTTAGTAGAGACGGGGTTTCACAATGATGGCCAGGATGGTCTCGAATTCTTGACCTCGTGATCCACCCACCTCAGCCTCCCAAACTGCTGGGATTACAGGTGTGAGCCACCGCACCCGACTCCAGTTTTATAATTCTAATAGAATTACTGTAAATGATGGTTCTTATGTTTTATTTTATGCACT